TTCTGAGACAACATGTATAATGTATTCATAAAAGATAAGAATAAGAAGACGAAGCTGCGTGTACTACTGGGACTCCTTTCTGATTTTTTTGGTGGTTTATGTAAATTTGTATTCTATTGGTCGAATGCTTTAGTCACATATGTTCAATCTCTTGCAAGTTGCCGCCAACCTTTCTTCTCTGTTCTCATGATTGGTTTTAAAATTAAGGATTGAACAGAGAATTTATAAGACGGTTCATTTTTTTTAGCTAATTATCTAAATGCATTTATTTATTTTTCTTTTACCAAAACAGAAATGCAATCAGAATTATGAGTTTGGTAGACTTATTTTGCTTTCCATGGCACAGGTCCCTTTGAAGAATCTAATTTTTATATTTTTGTCGGAGTTATTCACCCAATAAAACAAAGAGTTGTCAGAGTTTGACTGTTAGAGATGTACCAAAGAACTTCAAATCATTATTTCGATTAAGATAATAAAGGATACATTAATAACTTTCTGTTCGTATTTTTGGTTTGTGGGAATTCTTTGTAGATTTTTAACATCGAGAAATGAAAATATATAATACTGTCATTTTTAACAAATATTTGTTGATAAAAATGGAGAAGGGCGACATTAATCAATTAAAAAAGTGAAAACAATAAGGCAAGTTTATAAAATTGTTCTAAATAAACTCCCATGTGGTGGGGGTGACGTGATTATTGCCCTAAAAACTAGTTTTGCTCTGACGGTGATGCAAACTGATCCCCTCGTGATCGTTCTCGAGAGTCAACATGGGTTTAGTTAGGGGCGTGCACTTACTATTCACTGGAGAAAATAAATGCGTAGATCTTTGTCCAAAATCAATATTTAGAGAAGTGTGAATACTGAGGAATCCAATTTTATTTTATTTCTATATCAGAAATCCTTTTAATTATATTAATCTAGTGAAGATTCCAATCTAGATCTTGTGTCTAACTGGACAGACAAATATCAATCAATTACTGATTGAAATCAATTAGAGGAACACATTACGAATTAAATAGCAATTGTGAGACAAATTACTAATTACTAATCATATATCAATTGGGGGAGTTGTGAACCTATTAGGTTCGGTCTGATGATAGGAAGTTTGTATAGTTTATACGGATACAAACAAAAAATAAAAAAAATGGAGAGTCGTGAAAATAAGAATAAAGAAGTGAAATGAATTAAGGAAACATTGGGCAACCTTTTTGTTACATTAAAAAACACGTATCCTCTCTTGGTTGCTCTACATGCACATCCACTGCGAAATATAACTTTTTTTGGGGGTCAAAAGCTGATATATAACTAACTTTATTGAGGACCAATGGCATCAGAAATTGAGAATGCTTTTAATTTTAACTATAAATGTGAAGGCTGAAGGGAATGGAAATGGACCCTCTCAAACGCGAACGATTGCTTTGCTTCTCTAAAGTTAATCCCCATGTTAGATGAAAGAGTGAGAGTTGTAAACCATTACTTAAATAAATAAATAAACGGTTGATATATTATATTGTAGGGTCCTTGATAAAGTCGTTTTATGACCTCATGAAACATGCCATCTATTATCATAATTTTTTTTTTTAAAAGCATGGATAATGTTTTAATTTAAGAAAAGCCTTCCATGATCAGGGATCAGTGTCTCCAACTCAATTAGTGCCATGTAGGTGTAGCCCTCTCCTCTCTCTAAATGTCCTTCACAATGTCATCACATATCAATGGGACTCCACAATATTGTCATTCACTTATTATATCATAAAAAAATGGATTTTTCTTCTTCTTATTAGTTGAGGCAATCTATTTTGTTCGGTTGAAAAGAGGAAAATAAGAGGGAGGGGTTGAAAAATTAGGCAGAAGAGAGTGTTTGTTATTTTGGTTGGAAGAACTTTATCATGCATTAATAATAAAAATATATTTTTTATTATAAAGTGAAGGTTTGAAAAAATAACTTGTTTAAGTTGGAATAACCCTAATTGAAGGACGTGCTTAGTGATAATAAATACGCGGTTACACTTACATCATGATACTTGACTTCTGAAGTTCTTTTTTCTTCCCATAGAAGATCCACAACTGAAAATCTCACCTCATCCATGTGCAGGGATTTAGGAGAAAAGGAACTTCTTTAATAGTTACTTTTTACTGTTTAATAATTTTTTACAATATGAAATTTAAAATATTTTAATTAATTTTTTATACAAATTTAATTTCTTTGTTAAATTAATTTTACTTCTATTATTACAAAAACACGTTATACAGTTCAATTACTTCATTTTTTTACTCTGGCTTTTTTTATTTATTATTTATCTAAACAAGTAGAGAAAAAAATAATTCTTCTTTTTATATATTTATCTAAATAACACACATACACATACACACACACATATATATATATATAGGAATTGTTTACATATTAATATCAAGTAATTAGATTTATATTTTTTATTATTTAAAATATTGAGTTATAAAGTATAAAAATTTATCAGATCATTACATTATTATACTAACTCTAATAATTAAAAAATTATATTGATAACATAATATTCTAATTAAATTCTTAAAGCATTATTCCCTTACAAATAAGAATTAATACTGATGATGAGTGGTGAAAATTAATTAGATAGGTTCTTCTTTTGGTACATGAAGGTAAGAAAAAGAATTAGGTACATAGAGATTTTTGTCTTAAATTTAATGTAATTTTAGCATTTGAGAATTGTCTTGAAATGATTTATGTTTTTACTTTTTATGTAATATTAATTAGTTTTTTAAGTTATTCTTTAATTAATTATTCAACTAACATTATTAAAGTAATATATTTATCAAAAAAATGAAATTATTTTAATAAAATTGTATTAAAATAATATATTTATTATTATTTTTAATTTACGTATAGAAATTTTAAACCACAAGAATTGTGAAGCAGAGAAAGATATGTATGAGAGCAATTCCTTATCAATATTAAATAAAAGAATCCTTATCAATATTGATGTACCAGCATTA